CCAGGCCTACACACCTGACAGAGGTAGTGAGTGGCTTTACCTTTGAAGACCTCATAGTTCTAAATGGCTGGAAGAGGTACACAAGCAAAAAGCTCGCAATGCATACCCAGTAACCAGAAGGGTAGAAAAAAGTAAAAATTAACTTATCTGAGAGATTTGAGTGAAACTCAACTGAAGACAAAATGTTTTAAACAGAATGAATTAAAAAAGAATCTGAGAGTTGAGAGAGGAGGGGTAGCATGGTGGAGAGAGCTGTGCAGATATGCAGAGGACTCTGGAAGCAAGGGACCATGCTGGAGAAAGTGTCATCTCACTGGGCCAGCTCACCTAGAGGCAGGGCCTTTAAGGAAGCACCCATCTGCAGCTCAGGAGGGAAGGGCTTAAAACATACACCCGTGAGTCACGGTCATATGGCCTCATTGTGATAGCACTCTACAGATGCTCCACAATCATTCAGCGAAGGCTACAAGGTGTCCTGGAAAAGTACTGGGCTTGTTAAAAGACTCCAAAGACTGACTAAACCATCCCAGAAGCAGAGCCCTCTGCCTAAGAAGCCAGACATGAATGAGACAACAGACTACACTTTCATTTATATGAAACTCAAGAAGAGACAACACTGGTACCTTGGTCATGAAACCCAGATCAGTTTTTGCTTTTAAGGGAGGGAAGGCTTAAGGGAGTTTTTTTTTTTTTTTTAATGTTCAATGCAAGTGGAGATTATATAAATCTGATTATAGAAACTGATGGACTGGCTAGATAGCTCAGGGAGGAGCCAAGGCTTTCCAAACCTAAGAACCAGAGTCCATGGGTGGAACCCACAGGGGTGGAAGGGAAGAACCCAATACTGAAAGCTGTCCTCTGACTTCCACACATACAAATAAATGTGATTAAAAAAATATTATGGGACAGACAGAGGCACAAATATCTAGTTTAGAGTCAGCCTAGCCTACATGTTGCTAGCCTGTCTCAAACAAACAAAAGTGTGATGGCACAATAGATATTATTGTATATCTAATGGTATATAAAATATGCTGTCCTGAAATAATGATGGTACAAAGCTATACATGTTCTATAAACAAAGCCAAGGGGCCATGCAAAAGTATATCAGGATAGTAGGACTATAGAGTATTTCTTTTTTCTACACTGGTCTTTAAAATTTAAACTCTCAAATGCCAATAAACAGAAGCCACTAAGCTATGCAAATGGAGAGTTCATTATGATTTTCCCTGCAGAGGAAAGACTCTCCTTCCTCATTGAAGACCATACAGTCTGGAGATAACAGAAGAACACAAGATCCATTAAATACATTAGTGCAAGGTCCGAAGGTCACTGGCATAGGGGGAGTGCCTCATGGTTTGGTTCTGTGTAGATAGAGGGGTTTCTTGAAGAGGTTTGTCCAAACAAAGGGCTTTGCATGAAGAGATGTGGGTCAGATTTGAGAAACATGCTGGTTGCATACCAGGTGAAAAGGCTTGACTCAGGAAGAGACTATCAGAGCATGAAATGAGAAGGCATACGGAAAGTCTGCCAATGGGGAAGATGGACGGAAGCCATTAGATTGTGAAGTGCAAAGGCACAGACAATTGCAGTTGCAGGGCTCCCGGGTTCAGGAATTTCTTTCACTTCTTCAGGTGTGAGACTCTTGTCCCACTTTTCAGGCAGATGATAAGGCAAGATCACACAGTTGACCAGTGACTCTGGCAGCCTCTAGTTATTCCAAGGGACAAGGTGGATACTTGGATGGTGGAAGTGAGTGACGGAAAGTCAGAAGACAGCAGTAATCTCTAAGTCACCTGTAAAACATTGGGGTCTAAGCCCCACCACCTCATATACTTTACTACTCTGTTCATATGCCACACTAATCCAGCAGAATACACAGACATATCACCAAAGGGAAAACTCTCTGTACTCAAAAATGTTAAGTAACTCCTAACTGGGAGTGTATGAATAAAAACCCTACACCTTCAGCCAGGCAGTAAGGGTGTACATCTTTAATCCCAGCACTCAAGAGGCAGAGGCAGGAGGATCTTCCAGTTTGAGGCCAGCCTGGTGTACAGATTGAATTCCAGGACAGCCAGGGCAACACAGGGAAACTCTGTCGTGAAAGACCAGACCAGACCAGATCAGACAAGACCAGACCAAACCAAACCAAACCAACCAAAAAAAAAAAAAACCCTAATCCACTAATGGAACATTAAATGCCAACATTAAATAGCAGCAAAGGACTGGTCAGTCTCCCTGACCTGGGGATTTCTAATAGTATTCCATCTGCTGACTATTCTTTCTCATGGTATGGTTTATGCTTTCAATGTCACCGATCACTACACAGCTATCTGTTTGTTTGTATGTGAATCTGTTTGTATGTGTGTCTGTGAGCATGTGCGTGTGTGCGTGTTTGGAACAGGCTCTCATTATGTAGTCAGACTGGCCATTCACTCACTATGCTGGCCTAGGCCTGATAGCAATCCTTTTGTCTTGGCCTCTGGAGTTAGTGGGATTATAGATACATGTCATGACATTAACTTAAAACTGCGTATATTCGTGTCTTTATGGCTAATAGCAGTTAACCCCTGGCATGAGCGCTTTGCAATGTTTTACCTCGTGTGACCCTTATGATCATCCTCTGGGCACACATGCACATTGTCACTTTAGAGAGAATAAAACTGGGGCAGGAGAAATGTGACATGATGTGCTCTGAGCCACCCAACCCAAGGATTTGAACCTGGAGACGGCGACACCACAGTGCTACACCTTTTATTGCCTCAAATTGGAGAACTGAGGTCTCAGCTTTAGCATATAAACTTTTATCTTTTTTCCACTCTGGCCCAATACACAAATCCAGCTGAAAGATTCAAGAACTTTCTTTTGAGCCAGCTTCATTACACTTGTTTGAAGGTTTCTCTTCTCTTCCCTGGCCAAACTAACCTTTTCCCAAATGCCTTCGCTGGTCCTTGAGCAAGCACTGGTCCTTGAGCAAGCCTTGTCTGAGTCAGTAGTTGACAGAAATGACACCATTTCCCAAGTCTAGCCTAGGGTGACAAAACAATATGGACAGGCCACCCATAACATCCTGACACTTTGACAGTGGCAGGAAAAACACACCAGGCCACATTCTCTTTATCACAGACGGAGGTGAGAGAACAAAGGACGGCTGTTTCCTGACAGGCTGCATGATAACGGCAAGAGCTGTGGACCTGGGCTCCAATTTAAACTGCTTAGTGCTGAAGAGGATTGCTATTCAGTCAGAGTCAATGAGCCCAGTGTCCCCTTCTGTCTTGGTTCTGCCTTCTCTTAGAGAGTAGAAACCTGAAGCATTACGCAGGCTCATCTCCACTTCTACTGTGTTTTGATAAACTGTGTTTTGTTCTCTCTCTCTCTCTCTCTCTCTCTCTCTCTCACACACACACACACACACACACACACACACAGCCCCTCTTCCCTCCTCTCCTTATTCTGTATACATTACAGTACTTAAGGCACAGACAAACAAATCAAGCTGGTCATTGGGCAATCAAAAGGAAGGCAGCTAGATTGAATTAGAAGCGGAAGGTCTTCATGGTGTCTGGGATCAGGGCCACCCATGCTGTGGCTTCTGTCCTGGTTTGAAAGAGCTCACCCATCACTGGGCTTCTGCACTTTGACCTGCCTTAAAATTAGTTTTCCACAAGGGTCCTTCCTTTCTGTTACTTGATGCCACCCACCCAGCCATCCATCCATCCAGCCAGCCAGCACTGGTGGCTTCTCTACTGTTGTGAGTCTCAAGGGTTAACTAGGTATTGGCCTCAACTTCAACTGGCAGACACAAGGAGTAGGTAAAGGCAAGGTCTTGACTCTACATGCACTTGACCTTTGCCCTGGCTGGGCCAGTGTAGTTGCTGACACATATTCTAGGCCACCAAATTAGAATGGCAGTATTTAAACTATGGTCCAGTTCTCAGAGAAAAGCAGGATTCTTTCAGAATTAAATGAACAAGATTTGTTCTATCTTTAGCTGTTTCCCTTTGAAGAACGTATGCTACCCATGCTTCCAACACAGCCTATCAGCAAGAAAAGCCAAGGACAAGGCAGGTGACACTCGCTGAATGACTCCATATCTAGTTGAAGCTAAATCAGGGAGCCAATTCTTAGGGTAAGGGGTCCCCACAGACAGGGCAAAGGGAGGGGCACAAAGCAGTCAGATCTCTACTACAGGTAACTGAGGTAGAAAGGGCAACTGTCTTTGTCCTTCAAATCTAGAGATCCTCAGAAGCACCAAGAACTCAAAATATCAAACAGCAGGACTTCCTACTGAATGCTACAGAGCACACCACTCCTGGAGTTGGTAGACATTCCTTCCCCTCTCATACTGACTAGGTAGCACAGAGCATGCCTCATTCAGATGGGTGGCCTTAACAGGCAGTATCCCTTTAATTGTAGACTCACTGTACACTCACAGGTATACTGTACCACATCAGGGATGTGTAATGTAGTCACTTTTATCAGAGAATAACTTTCCTTAACACTCTTTAATATAAAAAGTGGTTCTGGAAAAAAAGAAGGAAGGAAAGAAAGAAGGAAGGAAGGAAAGAAGGAAGGAAGGAAGGAAGGAAGGAAGGAAGGAAGGAAGGAAGGAAGGAAGGAAGGAAGGAAGGACAACATAATTATTCAATGGAAATGCTCACAATTACAGAAAGCATTCTGTCCCTGTCTACTCAGTATGAAGCAATGCTTTATGCCTTGGTCATCAGAAAGCTGTGCTAGCTTACTCAGATCAGTGCCAGGAATTCTGTGAGCTTGAGGTCACGCTGCCAAGATTCAAAAGTAATGTCGATAGTGTTTGCACAGATATGAGAGAGAGAGAGAGAGAGAGAGAGAGAGAGAGAGAGAGAGAGAGAGAGAGAGAGAGAGAGAGAGAGAACAGCTGCCAGCATGTAACTCCAGCCACAGAGCAGGAAGGAAGAGCACGTTTGTCAATTTCAGTAAACTTTACCTAGGGCAGGGGCAGGAAAACAGGCTCTTACCTAGCTCTCCCCGGAGGATGACAAGTTCTTGAGAGAGGGTTTTGTGTTGCTTCAGTGCTTCCTCCCGCTGCAGAAAACACACACCAAGTTACTAACACGTTTTTAAAGAGGGTCCCTTTTCAGTAAGGTACACATTTGCCATTGCCAGGAAAATAAGACCAGAGCTGAGAGGCCGAGATACGAATCACTGAATCACTTAAGCTAACAGTTCGTGTTGTTAAAAACAAAGCAAAACACAATGTACCGTGAAGGAATTTCATGTTTCAAAAAAAAAGTCTGTATTTTCCCAGGTCCTCTGGAAACTTTCCTTTGAGGAACAAAATGACTATTTAAAAATATTTGCTTTGAGCCTTGTACTTACTGCAGACCCATAGACTCTTTACGCTAATGCATACTGTACTTAAGATGTAATGCAATCTCCCCTCCAAGGGCAATAAAGGCCTAATCAGTTCAAGATAAATATTTAATGTTCTAAACATAGGCATTTATATGGACTTTGTCCCATGTCCGCAAATAAAAAAGTTTTGTAACAAGGCCAATCCTATATTCTAAACAAGCAAAAAAAAAAAAGTTTGCTTTTAAGCTAGGACAAAAAAAAATTAATCTCTTAAAGATGAAATCAAGTTGATTTTACCCAGCTACACAGCAGTTTCCAAGGATTATCACAACATGAAGCAACGACAATCCTAAATATATTTGAAATAAGTGACATAAAGGAAATCGGGAGGGAGTTTCGGTGTTTAAAAACTAACAAATATCAGTCTTGCGGTAAGGAATAATTTTCACGTTACCTCCAGGTCTGTAGCAGGCACACATCCACACATACTTATACAAACACAATCATCAAACACAGTTCCTCAAGACGGAGATTCCCTGGCGCCAGGGTGACAACTAGGAAGTGAGATTCCAAGCTCTCGGTAAGTGTCCTTCCCGAGATCACCTTAGATGTGGGGCTCCAGCATCTGGATCACGGTATGGCAGAGACCCGTGTGAGACTAGCCTCTGCAGTGTAGAGTTGATTCTCATTCAAAGCACTTTCCCCTGGTTCCAGACAGGGTCTGCCTTCGTCCCTCACACCCTTCTAGAAAAGCACTGTAAACAAATACTAATTACCCTTGGTGCTGCACAGGGAGGAGAGAGGCACATTTTGCTGCTGGGGCAGCCCATTTTCCAGCTCCGGTCTCTCCAACTCCCCCACCCCCTGCACTGTCCAAGAAGTGCACAGGTGGCCACGCCTCCCACCCATCTGGGTCTGCCTACATTCAAACCTCCACAGGGAGGAGCGCCATTGGCCCTGGTGGCCTTCCCTCCTGTCCTGCAGGTTACTGCCTCAGACTCCTCTCTCTCCTCTCCGAAGCTGATACTGCAGCTTCTGTCTCTGGCACAAGCAGCGGATGATTACTTAAAGCCACAGCCCTTCATTTATGAGAAACGAGAGCCAGACATTACCCTGATCGATTGCCACTTACTTAATATCAGCTGGGGCAAAGGAAACAGAAACGGGACCCTCTCTGCGTGGATAATGGAGCTATTTTTAGATGCATGAGCCGTTTTACTCCCCTCTCTAATTGAGGTCATTAGATTATCTCACTTACTAATAGAAAAGGGAAACTTGTTCTTCAGAACCCATATACTAAAGGCATGATGAACTAGGTGAAGGGCAATCAGAGGGCCCCGTTGTGTTTTAGAATTTTAAATGACATTGCAATAGAGTATAGTTCATTGACTTTTTTTTTTTTAACTGGAAGTGCTAACATGGGTATTGGAGATCACGTATATTTGAAATCACCAGTCAGGAATTCCAGTTTTCAAAAATAAGCAACAATTGCTTTTGTAATGCAAAAAACTAAAATAACCCACAGATATAATGTTCTTCCCTTTTCTCCCCTTCTTACAGGTCTCTACTTGGTTTCCTTTGTCCCCGTCTCCCAAGTTCTTGGATTGCAGGCACGTGCCACTACAGCCTGACTATTCTAGTACTGTCATATCAAGTCTTAATCTTATTCAAACACTTTGGGTAAATGGCAGATTTTGTCAAGGAAGTGAGAGAAAAGCAGAGGACCGCTCTGTTAGACATGCGCAGTAAGTCTGACACTGTGACATGCTTCAGAGTCCCCTTTCCCACAGCAGCCAAGTTGCAAACAAAAGGGGGCGAGGGGAGAGGCAAGAAAATCTTATTGCTTACACATGAAAACTGAAAGGAAGATGGCAAAAACTGACGCTACAGATGCTTGTCTTCAAAGGACTCTGGAAAAGCCACGCCTACCTCCATAAATACATGAGGGACGGCGGTTTGCTTATTAGTGGACTTCGGGGGGGAGGCAACAGATTTCAGTGAGAGTGTGGATATCTGTCCTCATTCACTTCCCTTAACCACCCTCAACCTTCTCCAGCTCCATACAGCAAGAGGACATCAAGGTCAGTTGTCACTGTGTCTCAATGGCCGGAAGTGGGGGCGGGGGGGGGGGGGAGCCAGCTCACTGCTCCCTCACAATGGCTTTTGCTCTTACTGTCACCTTTGCTCTAGTCCTGGTTCTTTCATAGAAGGGATTTTTTTTTTTTTTTTTGGTTTTTCAAGACAGGGTTTCTCTGTGTAGCCCTGCTGTCCTGGAACTCACTCTGTAGACCAGGCTGGCCTCGAACTCAGAAATCCACCTGCCTCTGCCTCCCAAGTGCTGGGATTAAAGGCCTGCGCCACCACTGCCCGGCTAAGGGATTTCTTTACACCCTAGAGGACTTTTTTGTGTATAAACTCCCTTCTAAAAGGAGCCTCCTATTGAGTACATCACAAACAACAACGGAACTGAACGCGGAGCTCAGGTAGTACCTGTACATGAGGCTGAGTTCTTCCAGCGACCACAACATACACATGTGCGGCAAGCATGAGCGGTTGCCTGTGTGTGCTTCCACGGACTGGAATTGTCCAGCTCCTGTTCAGCATCCTGAGATCCTCTATTCAAGTCAAAAGCTATCCTTCCTCCAGGATCTTCTCCATACTACCCTCTTCGGATGACTGGCTTTCTTAAACTGACTCATTTTATACACTTTCTGGAAAGTCAAGTATTGGAGACAACATCCCCTCCCCCAAATTCCCAGAAGGGACATTTATCTTTCTGAATTATGAGTTATTACGCATAGAACTAAGCACATTCTATATCATATACTATAATGATATGTAAGAAAATTAAGGCATAGCTCCTGCCTTCAAGAAGCCTGGTACTTAGAGGGGAGGGCACTGTCCAGGACCAATTCTTTGGTCATCAATCAAAGCAGATGACATCATCTGAGGCGAAGCAGGGCAGGACTATGGGAAACCCAGTGCTTTAATATGATCTACTCAAAAATGCGGACCACAGAGCCCAGACTCCGACAGACATAGTTATCCTGCATGACTGTCTGGGTTGCTTGTCCTTTGAATGTACTTATGTTATTTACTCCCAGATGATAAAATACATTCTGGCAGTTAGAGACAGATTTTTTTTTTCAGCTGCTAAGGTTAGTGTCTCTGTCATGGATGATAAACCATTTATAATCCAGAGAAGGGGTTTATTTGATTATCTTTGCGCTATAACGTGCAGCTGCCCCCCCCCATACACACACACAGTGAGACTGGGGAGGAAGGTGGGAATCCACACAAAGACGATTTCATACTCATATTCATGCATTAAATATATGAAGTGCCCTAAGGAAAAAAAAAAATGGGATCCTCCGTAATTTAATTAGGGTCGCTGGGATGCAAGCACTTAGTGGCTGGCTGTCGTCCCACCAGTGTGACTTCTGCTGGCTACTGAATAGCATCAGCAACACAGGAAATTCTACACAAGAGAGCTGCAGACAATTTGGACGTGGCTAGGCCTGATTTCCTCATATCATCCACACAGTACTTTGATCATTGTAGACACCTTTTCCCCCTCTAAATCTGAGATGTAGACAGTCAGTATTATTTAAAACCCAACCTTTTTCTTTTTGGAGGTACTAGCCTATGTTAGATTTTATATGCAAAAAACAAACAAACAACAACAACAACAACAACCCAAATCCTGTCTGGACTTGTTTTACTTTACCAAGAAATATGCCTAGAGACCCTTTGATGAGGAGGACTCTAGAGTTACTAACAGCAGTGCTTGCCAATGGTGTCCTAATGTTTCAATAATGGGTGCAAGAGAAGTAGCAGTTAAGGGGATTTTAATTGATCAACTTTCCCCGTCCATTTCTTTCCCTTTCAGCTGTTTCATAACAGTGCCTTGTAACACACTAGGCAACTAGCAAACATTCACTGGTGGATTAAAAAACAGAGAAGGAGTGAAGAGCATCTAATGTGGGGACTCTGTCTGCATTTGTAAGACACACCTGCAGTTCCTCCCTCACCCCTCGCTTATCGCTTGTCTGAATTGTGTACTACAATTCTTGAGGTGGTTTTACAAGAAGAACTGGGGGCAGACTCTGCTCTCAATAAACTTCCATCTTAAAGAGCCAAAACAGGGGCTGGAGAAACGACCCAGTGGTCAAGAGCACTGGCTTGCTCTTCCAGGGGACCCCAGGCTCAATTCTCAGCAACTAAGGGCAGCTTACAACTGCCTGTAATTCCAGAACCTCCTTCTGGTTTCTGTGGGCCCTGCATATAAGTGGTGCAAAGATGTACATGTAGCAAACACCTAAAATAATAAAATATACTATTGTTTTAGAAGGCAGAAACAAACACAGAGTGAGGAGTTATCATATAGAAAGCAAAAAGAGAAGTATACAATCCTGGAATCCAGAGGGTGGGTAAAAGGTAGAGCTAGAAGCCCCAGGAGTCTCCTTAAGGAGGGGGTTCCTGGGCTTGATATTCATTAAGGTCACTGTTACATAGCCATTCTGTTGTGCTTTGGAGAGAAACACTCAGGCACTGAGGGCTTGACACCCCTGCATGCTGGTCCTGTTGACAGACACATGGATCCTGAGGATGCTGACTTCATCAGTGGGTTACAAGTCAGAGCTGAATGGGCTATTAGCAGGCAGAACCTGATTGCAAGTAAGGTACTTAAAGTGGGGCTTTAAAGGATATAGTTTGTGCCTGGTCTCTTCCTCCCCACCCCCCTTTCTCCTCCTCTTCCTCTTGTCTATGATGCCATGAGCCACTAGCTCCTTCACTTGCTTTCTGCCAGGATGTTCTGTTTCACCCAATAGCAATGGATCCCAATAATCATGGATCATTACAAAAATGTTCTTGAAACTCATTAAGGGTATATCGTATATCACTCAGTATTCCAAACCCAGGGCCATTTTAATTAAGTGCTACATCTATTCGTTCCTCAATTGGGCACCTGGTGAACTATACAGATTTGGTTTAGGAACCACTTTGTCTGGGCCAAAAAGTCTCTTATTAACACTACATTTGCATATTCTGTGGGATACTCTTTCCAAAAGAGGTCCTCAGAGAGACTAAGAGAATCAGATGGAAAATTCCTACTTCCTTCTCAAGTGCATTCCTTTGCCCACCGAGGACCAGAGAAGGCAAGACTGCCTACTTTATTCAACTAGCACTGAACCTTCACTGTAGAATCAGTCTGTGTACATCGGGTGCAGGTCATGGTAAACGGATGCTTACTTATGGAGGTCTGAACATGCAGGCATCTGGGGAAAAGCATGGTCAGGACTGACTGATACTGCTCACTGTCTGGAGTCTCCAAACTCTGTGTCCTGATTTTATTTGTAAATTCTCATTCATCATCGATAGGGTTAGCATTTAAAAAGATAAATCAGTTCTTACTCTAAGTGCTGGGTGTTACTAAAAAATGTTAACTCCTTCCTGCTGTTCCTTCACACCTCTGCTACGCAGCTGAGCATTTGGCAGTAAGGGTCACATTTAAAAAGACACTAATGTCAAATTATAAAACCTTATAGTCCAAGTTAATGAATCAGAATCATTCCTAAGAAATAGACATAATATTTCCTAGCAAGCACATCTTTTTTTAAAAAGTTAATTCTAATAGCTTTTACCTAGCTCAAATATATACAATGTAATCAATATAAAATACCAATAACATATATTTTTTTATCCTAAATCTTTTAATAGCATGTTTTTAGAAACTTTAGACACCTATTTGCTTAATTCACACTGATTAATTTATAGATGCTCAATGTCCTTTTGAGAGTCCTGCCAACCACATCGGATCATCTGTGGACAGTGGAGAACCCTAGAAGACAGACAACAGGATGGACTGCTCGGTCGAGGTGCAGCTGTTAGCAGTGCGATTGACTGCAGAGAGGAGCTATCAGAAGCCGGTGATCAGCCAGGTTGGAATGGGATGACCTTCGAAGGAAGAGCTACTTCATTTTCTAAAGTACTATGTATGAACGTGTATATGATTTAGACAAAAAAAAAAAAAAGTGGAATGATACTTTCATACTATCGTAAGTCTGGAGTTTTAAAATAGCACAGGGAATTACCTTCTCGCTACCATCTTTCTAGTGAAGAGACTCTGGGAGGGAAAGGGGGTATTAAGAAAATATCTGAAGGCTCAGGAGATGGCTCAGCAGTTAGGAGTGCTTGCTGTCAAAGCATGTGGACCTGAGTTCAAAGCCTTAATGTCCTTGTAAAAAGGCATGGTAGGTAGTGAGCGCCTGTCACTGCAGTCTTTGGAGATGAAGACAGGTGGATCCCGGGAATCCTAGTCCAGCAGCCAGCCTGGCTGAAACTTCCAGGTAAAGGTTCAGGGAGAAACTGTGTCTCAAAAAGTAAGGTGGAGTGCACTAGAGGAACACTGGTCTGCTCTCTTCTCAGCATGCATGGCGCCTGCAACCGCATGTGCACATGCTTGTACACCACGCACAGGAAAAAGAGGGAGGGAAGATAGCGGAAAATGTAACCCCAAATTCTGAGACTGGCACAAGTAGGAAGTGAGTGATGAAAGTATAGTTTGGGGTGTGGGGATAGCTCGTCCATACGCACAAATTCCTCAGTTTAATCTCTAGGATCCCTCCATTTTTAAAAAGCCAGGCACAGCTGTGCGTGCTGGAGTACTGGGGATATGGGGACAGGCAGATTTCTGGGGTTTGCTCGCTAGTCAGCAAGACCAACAAGGAGAGCTTCATGCCAGTGAGAAACCCTGTCTCGAAATGAAGGCAGATGGCTCCCGGAAAATTAATGAGATCCTTCTCTAGTCTCAACCATAAACACACACACACACACACACACACACACACACAGGGATTGGGAGGGAGAGAGAAGGGGAGTGAGAGAGGAGAGGAGAGGAGAGGAGAGGAGAGGTGAGGAGAGGAGAGGAGAGGAGAGGAGAGGAGAGGAGAGGAGAGGAGAGGAGAGGAGAGGAGAGGAGAGGAGAGGAGAGGAGGAGAGAGCCAGGTCTTCCAGTCATTAATGTAAACATATCTGTAGAACAAGTCTGAGCATCCTCCTTCCCCACCATTTAGGGTTGATAGATATCCTTACCTCAGACAGGAGGTGCTGGATCACAACTGTTAGTGCTTCAAACTTGGTATTACCACAGGCAAGAAGCTGCTTGAGGTGCAGGATAAATCCACTTTGGTTTTCACATTTTGTTTTGTACTGAGCCAACTCAAGCGTTCTTTCGGAGGACAGCACATCTGGAGATGTCTGGGTCTGGATGCACAGGCTTCTGGGATTCTTCTGCCTGCCCTTTTCAACTGTAAGAGGAAGGAAAGAAAGCACAAAAATGTGTGAGGTTGATTTTTATAATCACCACCACATGAGTTCAAGACCAGCCTACTACTATGCCAGCCACAGAGAGCATCTGAACCATGTTGCTGTTGATCTCACTGTGAAGATTCATGTGGAGTTATGCACATGAGACAAATAAAGTTAGTGACACTAAAACACAATAAAACACTTGGGGGGGCAAAAATAGTGATTTTGTGGCCTTTATTTTTAATTCATCACTATTATCTGTGTTCATGATTTGAGTATAGGTTCTCAAACATCACTGCAGTCCTGTGACATAAGAGAACTACCTCCTTTGGCCAGTTTCCTTTTACTAGGGATTCCAGAATCAAATTCGGGTCACCAGGCTTGCATGGCAAGCATTTTTACCTGTTGAACCATCCCTCCAACTCTACTTCCCAGTTTTCACTCTTCCAGATAAATTGACAAAGAAGTCTGAAAGTCAAAGGCCTTTTTCTGTGTCTATTGGTGTAATCCTGCAATCTCTGTCTTTGAGTTCATTTGTGAGATGAATTTCATTTATTGATTCTTGTTTGATGAGTCGTCCCTAAATCTCTGGGGTGAAAACTTGATCAGAATGAATGATGTTTTTGATATGATCTTGAATTCAGTTGGCCAGTATTTCATTGGGGATTTCTGCCTCTACGTTCATCAGAGAAATTGGCTTGTAACTTTTTCCTGTGCCTGCGTGCATGTGCATGTGTGGTGGCTGAGGGAAAGAGAGAGAGAAAGAATGTGAATCTGGTATCACAGTGATACAATAAATTATACTGGAAGATGCAAGAAATAAGAGTGACATTGTATTTATGACACAGGCTGAACAAAGTACAAGACAATTTTATGGTAAGTGGAACTAAGACACACTATTCAAATGGTTTTGCATTTTGGAGAAATAGCAAATGCTGAAACGAGACAGTAGTGCATTTAAATCCAGGACACAGTTTAAATCCCCTTGTGCTTTCAAACAGAAGGTGAAAGGGTATGATTAAAACACAGAGATTTTTTTTTTTTTTTAAAGAAATCACAGGATAAGCACTGAGGAAAAATTCAGATTATTGAACTCGAAATGCTTTTCTATCCTCCCACATTTTCCTTTTTAAAAACTTCATTAGACTGGGCATGGTGGCACACACTTTTAATCCCAGCACTTGGGAGACAGAGGCAGGTGGATCTCTGTGAGTTCCAGGAGGTTTTACAGGCCAACTGAGGATGCAAGCCGAGACTCTGCCTCCAAATAAATGAGTAAATTTGTTACTTTTGTTTGTTTGTTAGCATGTCAAGTAACAGGCTTCCTTATAGTATGTCATAGATGATTCGTTTACATTTTAATAAGTTCTTCACAGTTGCTTGCTGATTCTCCTCCCCAACCCTAAAATCCTTCCTCTTCCCCAGGAGACTTCCCCTCATGTCCTCCTATGTACTTTCCACAAATGCCTTCCACAGAGCTGCCTTCCTTGCTATGCCTTTCTGGTCATTGCCACAGTCTACACTGCAGATATCACTCCGAATCTAATGACCCAGCATATATACACTGGAGATCCCGCACTTTGCTCCTCCGAGGTTATTGTAAAACCCACTGTGTGCCTGAATACATTGCTTCATTTTACATTAAGTGCAAATTTTGTTCTACAAGTAGTAAAAATGAGTGTAAAAAGGTTCTCAAACACATGCTACTCTTCCAGATTCATCTAAGTTTCAAGAGACTGTTCACTTCCCATGCTGTGTTCTGGGAATAACTTGTTTTAAATGAAACAAAAATCTTTCTTTCAGTTTTGGAAACATTCCAAACATCAAGTTGCTCTGGATAAAACAGGAAACATACTGCTTAGTGTCTGGAAATAAACAGGCCCAACAATCAAAACAAATATAAATATGGAAAAAAAGGCACATGAAACTAAAAAAATAAAATAAAATGAGTGTTTCCTTATTGTGACATGTAGTCCCTATGGCGCCATCTGCATTCTGCACTGGCAGATTTGACAGAACTTTTTAAGCAGCAAGGTTTTCCTCTTGTTTTTCAAAGACCCACAAACTATCATCCAAGAGAGCTCGGAAGACAGGAAAGAGACATCTTGATTATGTTCCAAGAGCCAATGGCTCTTGCTTACACTAAAAATAAAATTTAAATATAAGTTACGTTCAAAACAATATTTTAAGTATCAGACAAAAGTGCCCTTGTTTTCCTGTGGCTGCTTTAGGTGGTGAAACAGTTCCTATGATTTGATAACCCTCACTTTTAAACTGACTAAGGTTCCCATTGTGTCTTATAGTACTCAGAGACCAGGAAAATATCGTTCATTCATTATGGGATGGAGTTTTCAGGTTGCTTGCCACTAACTGCCACTTCCCTAGAGGCAAACCATATTCAGCTTGATATTGCCATAATAAAATAGTTCAGAAGAATAAATTATGAATCACTTACTATATCAATGACAAGAACATAGATATTTAACAGCGTATCTACATTTTCCGTACATTAATTCCTTTTTTTTTTTTTGGATGATTTATTTACATTTCCTATGTTGTCCCCTTACCCCATCCCCCACCACCCCCTCGGAACCCCCAATCCCCTCGCCCCTCCTCCTTCTTCTCTGTGAATGTAACCTCTATCTACCCCCCCCCACTCCCACCTCCCCACCCTCAAAATTCCCACCCCCTGGGGCATCCAGCCTTCATGAGGTCAAGGTTTTCTTCTTCCACCTATGCCCAGCAGGGCCCTCCACTTTTACATATTCAGCTGAAGCCCTGGATCCCCCCCTAAGTGCTCCCAGGCTGGTGGTTTAGACCCTGGGAGCTGTGGTTGGTTGGTATTGTTGCTCTCCTCATGGTGCCACAAACCCTTTCAGCTCCTTCAGTCTTCACTCTAACTCCTCTATTGAGAACCCCATGATCAGTTCAATGGCTAGTTGTGAGCATCTGCCTCTGAATATGTCTGACTCTTGAAGGCCTCTGAGGAGATATCCATATCAGGCTCTTATCAGCATGCACTTCCTGTCTTCCACATCAGCATCTACCTTTGGTGATTGCACATGGGATGGATACTCAGGTGGAGTGGTCTTGAGACGTACATTAATTCCTTAACAGTTGCCTTTTAGAGTTTCTTTTCTATTCCTGTGATGAAACACCCTGGCCAAAGCAACTTGGGGAGGAAAGGGTTTATTTCAGCTTAGGTGCCCATGTAACCGTTCATCACTGAGGGAAGTCAGGACAGGAGCTCAAATAGGGCAGACACCCGAATGTCATTAGGTAGTGCTGCTTACTGTCTTTGGCTTGCTCAGCCTGTTTTCTTATAGCATCCAGGATGCTATAAGCCCAGGGATAGCACCACCCACAATGGGCTGGGTCCTCCCACTAATTAAGAATTAATTAAGAAAATGCCCTACAGCCTGATCTTATGGAGGCATTTTCTCAGTTGAGGCCTCGTTGTCTCAGATGACTCCAGCCTGTGTCAAGTTGACATAAAATTAGCCAGTGTAATATTCTAAGAAATTATACATGCCACACACTAGGGAAGAACAATGGCAGGGTTTACAGTTCAGAGAATTTCCTCGTTTCCTCTCTTCTTTGAGATTTAATCCCTCTGTAGCCCAGGCTAGCTTCAAATGACTGGTTCCCTGCCTTAGCCTCCAGAGCAGCTGTGACTATGGGCACATGTCACCCAGGCTACCCTTTTTCCTGATCCTTCCGGTACCTTTGTAGGAAAGCTAAGGCTAGTACAGGTGAAAAGACTTCTTAGGTGTAAATTGTGTCTCTGGACACACTCATTTAGAATCCAGGCCACTGACAGTCTGCTATCCCCACACAATCTGGAAAATGGACTGACCAGCAATGTAAACTATGACATACACAGAAACAAAGTGTATGTAGCAAACTTACCAGACTTTTGAAACTAACAAATGACTGTTAGTTTGAGGGGTAGCTCTCACCTGTACTCCCTTCCACCACAGTGGGGGGGATCAGACTGGGGACCTTGAATACTCGGCACTCCACTTCTAAGCGACATCTCCAGCCTGAGGCCAATCTTTTATGTTAACGTTCTAGAGAAAAATATTCCTTAATACTCCTGGGGACTTACAAATACGTCATGAAGAGTTTACCTTCTTGACTTCTAAGGACTAGAAGCCACATGGTAAGACGGTTCAAGTCACTTGTATGTTTCGCTCTTTAAAAACGCACGTGTGTAAGTGCTGTGAGTGGATGTGTATTCATGTACTTGTGGGTTTGTGTACCCGTGCAGAGGCCTACGGAGGCTCGAGGAGAACACCCAGTGTCTTTTTTTCCACTTCATTTCCTTGAGACAGCATTTCTCACTGACCTTTATGCTTGCGGGCTCAGCTAGGTTGGCTGGGCTTGAGATTTGCCTTGGGAGTTCTGGGGATCTGCCTTCTCCCTCCTGCCCCACTAATGTTGGGGTATAGGCATGCATGCCAAAGCCTAATGTTCAGTGCTGAAGGTTCAAAATGCAGCTTTCACAGGAATACTTATTCTTACCCACAAAGCCGTCTCCCCGGCACCCACTTTTATCATTTAAAATGATAGCGTAACTATTACCTACACAAAGTTTAGTATAAAACAAGTAGAGAAAATCAATTTTCAGAATCATTAAAATTAAATTTAAGCACTTATATCTTTACTCAACACTTAGCCAGCAAGTAAATACAAGCTACTCAGAGTCTTTCCCAGAGCAATCTAGACAATAGTTTAAGCACAGGTTTTGTTAAGTGCTTGAACCAAATTTACAACTAAGGAGGAAACGCCACACCGACATATTTTCCCAGAGCACACATTTTCCATTGTTCGGGGTACCCTGTGTCTGGGGCTGGACAAGCACACGGTGACCTCAATCTTTGCTCCACATACTGTACTCCCTTAGGAGAACAATCTTGCACATCAGCTGATGACCCAGTTCACACGTCCTTCCCTGTCCCCATTCCTGAGGATCAGAGAGAATACAAAAATCTCCAGT